CCCGATCCCCCAGTTTTTGTGTTAACAATAAATAGGTAGAAAACTGTTGCTGTAGGTACCTTTAAGAAAGGTTTACATAACTTTTAAGTACAGCATCTATAAAATTTAATCAAGCTTTATCAAATATTAAGCACAGGTCTACTAAATCCTAGAAGAAAGACCCTAGGGCCTCATTATTTTCAATTAATTATTATTTTATACATAGGCACTGAATTATGCCTAAGGGAGTATGCTAGTGTAGCTTAATGCCTCTCACAAAAGGCAGAGATATAAAACTAATTTTCTCAAAGGAAATTAAATGGCCACTAATGCTAGATCTCATTTATAATGCATCTCTTTATCTGAAAGATTCTATGGTATTAGCTTGTGAGCAAGAAGACAGATGTAGTCTTAGCACTATTAATCAAATCAAATTAAAAGGGATTCTGCCCTTTGTTTCTTTTCCCCCCTGTCCCAAGGTGATTGAAATGGGGGGGAAACCCTATCCTTTTTATAATACTGATAAAGTGGAAAACCCACCAGCTATACTCTCTAGGTTGGGAATCATGTCTATATTATGTTGTTATTCCAATTATGTAAATTTTTAAAAGTGAGAAAAACCTAAATCCAGAAAGATTCCAGGATGATTCAGACAAATGAAAGTAGGTACAATACAAAAATATATAGTGTATCATCATTCTTCATATTTGTTACATGTCTTCAAGCCAACTTCAATTTTTGGTGACCTTATGTGGTCTCTTGACAAGACTTGTTCAGAGGATTTTGCCATGACCTGAGATAGTGAGACTTCCCCAGGTTCACTCAGTGGGTTTCCATGGCAAAGCGGGCTTTTAAATTTTAGGATTTCATCACATGAGGTCCCCGATCCAGGCGATAGCAGGGGGATTGTGATGACTCTGGAATGGGGCATGGAGAACCCATCACCCTGCATTGCCCAGATCACCCCTCACCTTATCCCACAAGGGGAAGCATTACCACCCAGCTTCCTCCCATTGTTTTCAATGGAACATGGGAAGCCTCCCGTGTTGCTGCTGTTTCATTCTGACACACTTGCACCTCTCTTCAATTACGGAGCTTCACCAGAAGTAGATCAACATCATGTGATGAGCTCCATTGGGCTCCATGCCTGTAGAGAGGTGCAAGTGACCTAGGATGAGCAATTTTGCCCATCTGATGAAGTGGTAAGTGTCCCAGTCTCCTACTCTAACACTCAAACTACTAGAGCACTTCAGACAGAGACAATCAAACTAACTGAGCATGACAATTTACCATGATGTTGAAAATGCTGTCATGTTGGAGCCTGAACTTTCCTGGGAGACTTTTTCTAAATGACAGTGCCATCACAAGGTGACACAGGAAATTTACCAGAAGGAATATATTTGACAGCCATTATCTGCTTTTGTTCACATGATTATTTCAGGCCCCTTTCTCCATCCTTTGGGTAGAATGGTGTAACTATTTTACTTGAATGATGTGGGGGGGGGGGCAACAATGACCCCCCCCTTTTCTTATCCTTCCTAAACCCCTCAGCAAGGCCTATGCATGCTCTTTGAACTTCTCTTATGTTTTCCTGTGGCTGGTGGCCAGAACCAAAGTAAGCCAAATTAATTCAATTCCATACACGAAATGTTGATCTTATCCTTAATTTCTTCTCTTTGGTCAGCCCAGACCATTTTCTAGGACATTATTAGCTAACAGGAAACATTATCTTAAACCTGGTGTATTTTTTGGTGTTTTCTTGCCATGCATTTTAATATGTGATAAGGACTGGTAAGGTTTTGCTGTCTTTCTGGAGTGACTGGGTGTTCATCTCAGAAGTTGAAGTAGCTAGCTACACATAATTAGGCACTTATCACAGTAACCCAATGAGAAAGTATGACTACATTACATCACACCAAGGGATAAAGTCATGCTTTATGTAGATAATTGTAACTTTTAGTTACTTTTATAGCTAATGGATTTTTTTTCATGTCAGGAGCGACTTGAGGAACAGCAAGTTGCTTCTGGTGTGAGAGAATTGGCCATCTGCAAGAATGTTGCCCAGGGGATGCCTGGATGTTTTTATGTTTTACCATCCTTGTGGGAGACTTCTCTCATGTCCCCGCATGGGGAGCTGGAGCTGACAGGGGGAGCTCAACCCGCTCTCCCTGGATTCAAATGTTTATATTGATATGTTTTTAATTCCATGGTTTAATGTTAAATGATGTAGTGTTTTATGATTTAATTGATAATTGTATGTTATTATCGTTATCTTAGGTTTCTGTATTTGAGGCATTACATTTTGCCATAATTGTGTTGGAAACCGCTTTGAGTCTCTCGCTGGGATGAGAAAAGCAGTATACAAGTGAAGTAAATTAATAAATAATTTAGTGGTAGTAGTAGGGAAGATGAATATTTCATGGTTCAAGGACTGGCCCATGTTTGGCTTACATTTGAGAAATGAGAAAAGGGATGGTAGAACAAAAATTATATATATGCAAAATAGCAACTGTAAGAGCAATGAACTACTCGGGGGGGGGGGGGGKGGTAAAGGATTATAAAAGCTTTTGCAATACTATAAATTTCGAAATATTTTCTGAAATATTTACATTATATAACACATTTTTGTTCCTGGGTTATAAATGTCATTTCCTAAATGTTAATGCCATAAAACAGGTAAAGGTAATTGTTACCCTCCATGTGAGGTTGCAACTCTCATTAACCAGAGATGAAGTATTATGGGCACTGTTGTCCTCAAATGTTTAGAGGAGACCCAGTGATCCTTCAATAAATTTAAAATTGAAGATAAAGATGAATAGTTCAAAGCCAGCCATCCTTATCTGCATTTCTAAACTTGAACAAACATTTATGAAATAGGAAAATTTCCAGGGTTTGGGCAAACCGATAATTTGGCTTGATCCAAGTTTACTACAGATTCAAACAAAATTATCCATGAAGTAAGTTTGTGAATGGGATTTTAATTTGCTGACATTTTACTCTCACAGAGAGTATCAATGACATTTGAAGGTCAAACTGCTTGACTTTACAAATAATGGACCCTAAAGACTTTATTAGATGGATTTGTTCCATTTTTCTTCTTCTCAAAGTCATAACAGAGAACTCATGCAGGGAAATTTTGGATGGCCTGCTCAAAACAAATGTTGTGGAACTGTCCTTGTACTGGATCAAAATAAACAGAGAGGAGCAACAGAGCACAGGCTATTTATACCATCAGTACAAATAAAGCAACAGCATATGTGTTGTAGCTTTAAACAGTCATGTATACGAAACAATTAAAACACCTGTAGGTATGGGTAAATGTTAAAATCAGTTTTGTAAACAAACCTTTCCCCAAAGGACAAGCAAGTTCTAATCCCATATTTATCCTCTTTTTTTGAGCCAAGAGCATATTATTATTTTGATGGTGGAGTGTTTGGTGAGGTAGAACTTGTTTTGTAAAAATCCTTGAGTGTGTATTGGTAAGAAGGAAGGGAAACTCAGTAGTGGAGTATCTGCTTTGCATGAAGAATGTGCCAGGAGCAGTCCTTGGCATCTTCAGGTACAGTTAAGACAAACCTTGACTAAATCATGGAGATTCATGACTTTATCGCATGGGTAAATTTACCCATCGTACAATACTTTTACCATGTTGAGGGATGGAGCCCACCAGATCTCATGATATGATGTACATCTACTTTCGGCAGGCCTCCATCCCTCAGTTGTGATAAAATAGTCATAAGAAGCAGCAACAAGAACACAGGAGTCTTCCCAATGTTCTAATTGATAAGAAATGGGCGAGTGCGGAGGCAAGCTAGTAGCAATGCTTCCTCCCATGGGATATGTAAGGGGCAAACAGGTTGATGGGTTTCCCATACTGCCTACCAGATTTGCCATGATGCATTGTGAATCCCCTCTCTATTGCCCACCATGTAGACCTCAATGTGATGAGGTCCTCACTGACAGTCAGATGGCCCAGTGGTCTGATTCAGAGCCTTATTACAAGAGCCCCCTTTTGTGTTACAGTTGCATTGTCTGTAAAACACTATTTAAGTGAAATTGCTTTCATTCCTATCACATCACCAGAATAATTGCAAGATTGCAACGTCTATCCACTCACATACTGCACTACACATAGTATTTTGGACTGCCTGCCTACTACATCCCTGAAGTTATTATCATCATGCCTTTTCATTGCTTGGCACTTACTTACTTAGGCGATCCCTCGTTTTCCGAAGAGGATTGTCTTCCAGTATTCTTGTGGGTCCGTATGTGGGTGTGGAGCCCTATTCTTGCTCTGCATCTTCTTCCGCAGTGAAGGCATTGGTTTCCAGGTGGGCGGCGGTCTCGGTCGGGGTTGGCTTGATGCGCCATCCTCTTGGCATGCTCCTCCCTTTCGCCCTCTATTCGTGCCTCTTCAAATTCTGCAGCACTGCTGGTCACAGCTGACCTCCAGCTGGAGTGATCAAAGGCCAGGGCTTCCCAGTTCTCAGTGTCTATGCCAGAGTTTTTAAGGTTGGCTTTGATTTAAAGATGCTTGGCACACATATACATAACACAGAGTTTGCTCTCCCCAACTGTGTTATAGCACTTAAAATGTAGTTACAGTGTTGTAACACTACAATTCCCCCAAACTTTTTTCCTGATCTCAGCAAAGGACTGAGAGCTACCTGAGATATGTAGTCAATAGCACCATCCAGGTCTGCCTGTCCCACAATCCCATTTGCCAGAACTTTCCCTGAGGTTCGAAGGAAAGGCTGGCCTTTTGAGCTGAGTGCCACCCCTTGAGAGGCATAGCAATGATTACTGAATTCCCTGATGTTTTCCTTCCCAAAGCATGTTCACCAGATTGCCTCTGACCACCCAAAATCAGAGTAAACACAAAATTCAACTTTGACGGACCACTTTCCAGAAGGAAAAAAAATAATGCAAATCTCCATTATTTAAATGGAATGGGATTGCATCTAACAAAGGGACTGTTGGGTTCATTTTGAAGTAATCTCTTTTTCTGTTTCTTTCTACAGATTAAGATGTTTAGTGAAACAGCTGGAGAAAGGTGATGTGAACATTGTTGATTTGAAGAAGAATATTGAATATGCCGCATCTGTATTGGAGGCTGTATACATTGATGAAACAAGGTAAGCCTTCAGAACATGAGGCAGTAGTATGATCTGTCTGGAGATACTTGACTGTCCATCTGTTTATCATACTGATTGGTTTACATAATTTGTGTCATGTTGAATAAACAAGAGATTTGAGATCCAGTGGATTCTTGGCTGCTTCATCCTGTCCCTGAAGTACCCTCCTGTCACATCCCAGGAAGATCTATTTATTATGGCTGTGGATCTTCTGGTAGAGAAATTCTGATGATACGTTAGAAAAATACTGACTTTCTGTGGAGGCAGCAATGAGAGGAGCTCTGGGAGCAAAACCTCCATCACATTGGTATAGTCTTTCAATCAACCTTAAAGTCTTCAGCCAACTTTATGGTTGCTTCCTATGTTTTGAATCAGGAAACTCATAGTTTGAATGCCACTACTCCTAGAGCTTAGCAATAATGTATCATAATGACATTATTTTAGCAATTTTATGTAGGGTGTATCTATACTGTAGAGGTAATGCAGATTGACACCACTTTAACACCCATAGCTCTGTACTATGGAACCTTGGTTGTAGTTTGTTGAGATGCCAGCACCCTTTAGGAGACCAGGCTAAAAACCTTTCAAAAGTACCATGCCCATGACTCCATAGCATTGAGTCATGCAAGTTAAGGTGGTGCCAAACTGCATTAATTCTACAGAGCAGATGCATCTGTGGTCCCGTACTTCGAAGCTCTTTTCAAATGAGGAGAGTGTTTACTGGAACTGAGCAGTAGTACTTGGTGTTGTTCACTTACTCTGAACCTTATAACACACTGTTTCTGATTACAACTGTAATACATTCACTCTTTTAGAAAAACAGGATTTTCTTCTTTTTCTCTTATTCCAAGCCTAGTAGAAACTTGAATTTTATTGAAAATGTTTCACAGCTAATTTCGTGTCTTTCATTTTTTACTGCCTGAAATCATTTTTTGAGGATTGCCATGTAAATGAAACTGTATCTAGTGTTAGACCAATTTCCAGCATGTTTACCTAGGTTTTACATTTCACTGTCTTAACCTTTTAATGTTTTATTCAGAACTGAATGTGCTTCTGATGCTGGCCGCCAAATTGTCTTCAATGTCTCTTGGAGATGACGTAGCTGTCTGCTCCTATTTCCTTATTAAATTTAAGGTCTGGTCTTTTCATAATTCCAGGGAGTCAGCCTTGGTAGATTAGGTGTTACATAAATATATATTTAATTTGCACAATTTTATTGCTTATATGCCCAGATTAAACACTATACATCTGGAGTTAATAACTGGATGGGGGAGAGCCATAACTTTTCCGTGATTTACCATTACCTCTACAGATAAATAGAGATTAATAACAAAAAATAGGAAACATTGTCCAATAGCTTTATGTTGTTTCTTTACAATTCGCTATGATTTATTTTGAGCCAGCATGGCATGTAATCTGAGTGTTGTTCTACAACTTTGGAGACCAGGGTTTGAATCCTCACTCAGCCATGAAAACCACTTTGGACAGTAAACGCTGTGATAGGTCCACCTTAGAATCGCCATAATTTGGAAGTGATTTGAAGGCACTCAACAAAAACAATAATTATTCACTGGTGACATTTCAGTCACTATTATCCTCCAGTAAGCTCAAGGTGGCATATATGATTCTATTCCTCTGGACTTTATACATATGACAACCCTGAAAATTGAATAAAGAGATTGTACAATGGCCATTCAGTACATTTCATGGCTAAGAGGGGACATGGATTTATATCTCTTACATCCCACTCCACAGCTTAGTCTAGTCTTTATATACCTATTTCCTTCACTATCTGCTGTTGTCATCATTTTATTATGCTACAGCCTGCTATAGCTTACGTGTATTGGGTGATTAACAGGAGAATAGACCTCCTCCACTTGGAGGAGGGGCTTCAACAGGAAGCTCCCTTGCATTATCCAATGGGCAGTGAGCCCATCAGTCCTCCAGACAGGGTGGAAGTGTCCTAGGATGCTAAAATTACCCCACCTGAAGAGGTGATACTAAGTAAATATCCTTTCCTTAGATCTAGGTATTTGAATTTCCTTCCACAAATGATCTCCTGTGTGTGGAAGAGTTAAGACAAGGGTCGTGCTTTTGACGGTTACACTGGAAATTGATGAAGGAAGAGGGTGAATCCCTCCTCCAGACCTTTACTGATCTCTTTGCTTCATAATTGGACCTCATACAGTTCCTGGGCACACTATTTTAAGCCGCAAAAGTGGAGGTGGGGAGGAGAACACATTTCCTGAAGTTAATCATGAAATCAGGAAGATTGGGAAAATCATGAAACTCATTTTCTGGCTGGAACAGGTACACTACATTTAGCTGGACAGATATTTCATGTTGTACTACTGAGGATTTTTTTGGCAATACAGTAATAAATGTCATTGACATCAGTGAGGCCTGGCTTCCAAATAATTTGATTTATGCTCAGAATGTGCATGAGTTAAAAGCAACGCCCTCAATCTTTTTAATAAACTCCCAAAATTGACATGTTACATTTTACATTGACTTGGAAAGTTCTCAGTGTTTCTGAACTAGTTTTATTACCACATACTGGAACTATTAAAATGTGTATTTTCAAGAATTCAGAGAAGGCATTTGAATGAAACACTTCTCACAATTTCTCCAGTTGTTTCCGAGCAACAGTTAGCAAATAATAGCAATAGCTTTGCTGTTATCTCGCAATTATATAAATTGGGAAGAGGGTAGAAAAAAGATCCTGCACAGATAATGATGTGCTAATTCTCAGAAACATGGTGAATTTTTGTGTTTGGTGGTAATTATTCAGAATTTATGAGACCCAGGGGGAGATGTTGGAAAATCACTCTCAGAATTTCACTGAGTGTCCTTCTTAGCAAATATCACACACATGTTTACTGTTAATCAAGAGAGAGAGCATTTCTTATGGGCCCAAGTAGGTTAAAATAGTATTCTTACTAGTCATTTTCACATGTTCTGTTTAACATTCTTCAATCTTAAGGGTTACAAATAAATAGTAATACTTGTCATAATAGGTATGCATTTGCCAATTTTCACTTTCTGAAATAAGAACTGGCAGAAAAAAGGAAAAAGAAACAGTAGTGGTTTTCAACTCTACAAAGGAGTGAGCTCAAATACTTACTTGTAAGTCCTGTTTCTGAAGGTAAAATGGGATATAAATAAGAAGGAGGGGAAGAAGAAGGAAAAGCAGAAGAGGGATTAGAATGAAGAGGAAGAAGAGAAAGGCATAGAGGGTAAGAAAGAATAGGTGGAAATGGATGAAAAAGAAGGGAAGGAGAAAAGAAAGAAAGGAGGGGGAAAAGGAAGAGGAGAAGGATCCTTGAGATAATATATTTAAAAAATCTAAAATAAAATACTGATGTACACAGAAAGAGTTTCCTAATTGAGAAGAAATTAAATTCTTAAATATTAAATAGAAAGAAAATTACGAAAAATATCACCATTAAGCTATGCCAAATAAATCATTACATGGGCAATATACTAAGAGTATAGAAAGGAGAGTTAAAAAGGAAATCTGTAAATGGTTACAGAGATGGACACTTAGAAAAGCTATGAAAAGGGTTATATTATTGCCAAAAGGCAGTCATTTCAAACAAGTAATTACTGGGAAAGAAGAAAAATACTGGAGAAAAAGGAAGAGAAAGGTGAAACTTTTGATGACATTGGTTCATACCACTAGATTGCTCAGATTGAAGAAAATAAACACTATGATAAAGCAACTGCAATGATACATGCAAAAAAAATATGATAGGAATATGTGACTGAAAATGTTAAAAATGGTCAAGTAAAAATCTCATGAAACTTCAGGATTCTACCTTATTATTATTATTATTATTATTATTATTATTATTAATAATAATAATAATAATAATAATAATTGTATTTCTTACCCACCTCTCCCCAGTTCAAGATGGGTCACAGATGGCACAGTTAAAAACACAGAAATACTATAAAAATTCTACAAACATACATTAAAATTCAGTTCCATAAAAGACACAGATCAAAGCATTTCTGTAAAATACATATTAATCACACTGGACAGAGACCAATACATATGTTCATGCATAAAGACTGGTTGGGTAGGCATGCCATACCCCCTCCAAGCAAGCCCGTAGCCAGGATTTTGTTTCGGGGGGGGGGGGCTAAGTCTGAGTGAAAGAGGGTCTACCCTAGCAAACCTTTTGTATCGTTTCCCCAATACCCCCATGTATATGGGGTATATTGAGCAATCCCAAATAGACTGACAAAACATCTTAATGAAATCTCCATAGATAGGGTCACAAAAGCACAATTTCAAAAAGTGATGCTATTGTCCAGGGCTTCATATGCCACATTATCTGATCATGCTTCAGTGATTTTTAGATTCTTGCATAAAATCTGAATCACTGATGGGCCAAAGTAGTATACTGTTTGATTGTTTTAATTAGTTATAACTGTGATATTATATGGTAAATTTGTGTATTGTATATTGTATTGTACTTTGTAATTGTTAGACATTGAATTGTGCCTTTTGTAAGCCGCCCCTGAGTCCCCCCTAGGGGGTTGAGAAGGGTGGGGTAGAAGCACCCCAAATAAATAAATAAATAAAATTCCAATCAATAACATCTTATAGACTGTGATGGGAATAATAACAGTTTTTTTCTATATGATATTCAAATAAAGTGATGATATTTTACACCTGAAACCCTTGGATCATATGTGTCAAATTCAAGGCCCACAAGCCAAATATGCCTTGTCATGTCATTTTGTGTGGACCTTGAGATGCTGGACTATAACTCCTGTATTCTTCATCTAATTAGAACTGTAACTAGAGCTAATGGGAGTTGTGATACAGTCACACCTGGAAGGCTGCAGTTTGTTCTATTTAGTTAGAATAATGGGGTTTAAATTCAAAAACAAGACTTGTGGATAGGAAATCTGACTTTAAAATATCCTTTAACCTTTCCCCAACATCAGAGCCAAAACTGCTGTTGGGTTGCACCCATTATCCCCACTCC